TTTTTTAACTCGGACCATCCCTATGATATTATTTTGTTGCGATTTTAGTCCCTTAAAGATATAAAAAGACTAAATTGCCCTTATTTATTTCTTTTTCAATTTATTTATTGCTTATATAATTATTTATGTTATTATTAAAAGCTTACGCTCCCACCCTAATTCCATCCCGTAATCCCTTTGTTGCTTTCCCAATTCCCCATTACCCCCATCTTCATCTTCTTCGTTCAAGATATCCGGTCACTGCCAACATAACCTTCTCCGGCAAATAGTATATTTCATATCGGTATTTTTGCACCTTCATCATTTTCAATTCTTGGTCTTGGAGGGAGAGATGTATGAATTGTCAATATCTCATCCACCACATCATCTATTTGATTTTGCCGAATATTCCATTTCTACTCCTTTATTCTACAAAATTCTCAGAGAACTTGTACAGTTAAGACAAAAATCAAAACTGAAATCACTTATTAAGCACGTCTTCTTCATGGAGAGTTATGGATTGTGTTTTTGGCAATAGCACAAGTCATTTCTTCATCAAGCATGTCTTTTTCGTCAAGCAGCATAAGCCGTACTAGTTGCTTCTCCGCCCAGCACCACCACCGATGGGAACCCTCTTTGTTCCCCCCCCCCCCTGTAATGACTTCCGACCTTCTCTCCATCATTACCCTATTTCAGTGAGACCTCACTGTTGACCCACCTAATCATATAAACAAAAACTCAAATCAACTTCATAGTCACAAAAAAATTTAGATACAACACTCAACCTGTAAGCAAACTAATTACAAGGATTATAATAGCAAAATACCTATAAGTCAAAACAAAATCTGAGATGGAACATCCATTAGAGGTGTGGTTGGGATCGGAAGTGGTTGAAGAGAAACACCGATATATGAGGAAGAGGGAGGGTTCTTGAATCACAAAGGCGGTTGATTTGTTTTGATGGTGGTCTAAAGGAGGTGGCAAAGGTGTAAATAGGATCAACTGATGGAGAAAAGAGAAGATGGGGAATAGATAATGTTCTTTGATTTTAAAAATCAATGTCAGCTAGGGTTCGAATTTTACAGGGAGATGGGCGGATGGAGGAGAGGGTGGTCTTTCAGGAGACTCCGATGAGGATTGAGGTTGGAGCAAGAGAAATTGGATGTTCGGAGAGATGGAGGGGATGTTCGGGGGGTGACAGTGTCAGACTTTGGTGGCAGCAAAGAGAGTGGCAGATACTGGTGATGGTAGAGAAAAAGAGAGAGAGAGAGAGAGAGAGAGAGAGAGAGAGAGAGAGAGAGAGAGAGAGGTGTCAATGTCTATCGCTGGTGAAGAACGTTTGGGTGTCGATGGTCTCGTTGGGTTTCACATAAACGAAAGGAAATAGGGGGTTATGAGAGGGATGGGCCCCGTGTATCTAATCATTATTTTTTTGTTAATAATAAAATAAATAATAAAAACAAGATAAATAAAACGAGGGTAAAATAGTCTTTTTAAGTGTGCCAAGGACTTAATACGCAACAAAAACAAATTATAGGGATGCTCCGAGTTAAAAAAAATTGTTAGGGACCAACCATGCAAACTACCCAAACCATAGGGACCATTCATGTAATTTACCCTAATATTTTAAAATCATAACAAATGAAATATCAAAAAAATCATAATAGTTTTAAATCATAACAACTTAAATAAAGCATATTAAATCATAGATTTTTTGGATCATCTAATTTTAAACCATATTATTTTTAACCCAAACAATGCGGAAAGTACCTTATTTGGTCGTATAAATGAGATGAGACTCCCAAATTTATATTAAGCACCCTTTGCCACCATAGGACCCTAGAGATAATTTCCTTATTTAATATGGTGAAATCAAGAGCTATTTTGGGAAAATGACTTATTAAGGTAACTAACTATTTCAACTGTCCATATATAGGTAATGTTCTTTTTTTTGTACATATTAAGGTAACTAACTTGTTTTGTTTGTTCACATTTAGGTAATATGACCGGCTATCACCTGTTTTTGCTTATGTGGCATCCACCTGGCATTACGTGGCATGGTGCATATATGGGAAAATGACTTATTAAGGTAACTAACTATTTCAATTGTCCATATATAGGTAATGTTCTTTTTTTTTTTATACACATTAAGGTAACTAACTTGTTTTGTTTGTTCACATTTAGGTAATATGACCGACTATCACATGTTTTTGCTTATGTGACATCCACCTGGCATATGACTTGAATACGTTACACCTACGTGGCATCCACCTGACATATGACTTGTTTTGTTTCTTCTTCCTCATCTTATTCTTCAAAACAACAAGATGAATTTCAAGCTGATCATCCATGTGATTGCGTTTTACCATCTCGTGTGAAGATTTCAAGAACTCCTGACAACCATGGAAGAAAATTTAGAGTTCGTTAAAACTCGATGGTAAATCAATATTGTTGAATATGTTGCAGGAGTTCTTGAAATCTTCACACGAGATGGTAAACCGCAATCGATAATCAGCTTGAAATTCATCTTGTCATTTTGAAGAATAAGATGAGGAAGAAGAAGCCATCATCGATCGATCTAGGGTTTAGAATTAGGGGTGGAATCGTATGACACAGTTATAGTGTAATCGAATGAAGACAAAATATGCACCATGCCACGTAGGTGTAACGTATTCAAGTCATATGCCAGGTGGATGTCACATAAGCAAAAACATGTGATAGTCGGTCATATTACCTAAATGTGAACAAACAAAACAAGTTAGTTACCTTAATGTGTATAAAAAAAAGAACATTACCTATATATGGACAATTTAAATAGTTAGTTACCTTAATAAGTCATTTTCCCATATATGCACCATGCCACGTAATGCCAGGTGGATGCCACATAAGCAAAAACAGGTGATAGCCGGTCATATTACCTAAATGTGAACAAACAAAACAAGTTAGTTACCTTAATGTGTACAAAAAAAAGAACATTACCTATATATGGACAATTGAAATAGTTAGTTACCTTAATAAGTCATTTTCCCGAGCTATTTTTATGTCTTTGATGTCCAAATCTATAATGCCATATACAAACAATGGCCAATCGTTTATCATTATAAATTATAATGAACCTAATACATCGTTATCTTAGCGAATAGGGGTAAAAAAAAGCCCTTAGTAAAATATAATGATTTAATCATTAAAAAGAATGAGGGAACCTAAATCAATAAAAAAAATATGTTGAGCTCTTTACTTGTTTTGTAGTTTGCTCATCTATAAAGCCACGTATTGCGTATAACAGAGATTGTAATAAGTAAATAATTAAATGTTAAATATATAGATAATAAAAACACGTTACTTTTTTATATTATGCTAAAATCTTCCCTGGCTATCTTAAACGTTAATCAAATTATTATTATATGATTACTTTTATTAAATACTTGTTTAATGTTTAAAATCACATCATCACTCATCGGCCGAATCGACATGAATAAACCGACTTAAACCCGAACTAAAAATGACTCGGGCCTAAGGAACCCTGTATAAATACCAACCATCACTTCACACCGACGTACCCATACGTAATTCTCCAGATCTTTTCATTCCCCCTGCGTTTCTTTCCATTCTCCACGGGATTTCTCCATTTTGGTAAGCTCCACATCTGTTGTCCTTCTTATTACACCTACTGATCTGGATAAACCTCTTTGGATTTTCAGTTTTTCATATGATTGTACTCGGTTCCTCGTGTTAGATCTTGTTCTATTATTTAGTTTAGCAGTTTTATCCGATTTATCTCCATTCCTGTACTTTTTTACCGGTTTGATCGAAACTACTATTTTTTTGTGAAAATTTATGGGGATTTATATCGATCTAGATAAATTGGATGTATATGTTGTGTTGTTTTTCAAGTACTGATCCGTTGTAGTTATGATTACAGTTATATGTAACCTTTTGAGTTTAACTGAAAATTTTATGCGATTATCTGAGTGATTCTGGCATTTCTATGGCAATTGGATAATCATATACATGATATTTTGGAGAATCATTTACTTGGATCTATATATGATTGCCAAAACGGCAATTCTAAATTTGAGTAAGATCTGATCATAAAGAGTATGACAGTCTCATATTTGGATCTGGACATGACACATTGTTACACAGATCGTTTTCTATCTCTTTTACATTCAAGTAGATGTTGTTGAGATTTGTGTGCAGTTGGTCTTTAGTATTCAAGTTAATGGGCTTGTTCATTAAGTTTCTCCCATTTTTTTATGTAACCATGAAAGTTGACTTGCTTTTGGAATTTTGAGTTGTTGAATCAATGTGGTCAAGTTGTTTGTCTTAGCTATTGAATATTGCTTATTGTTATAATTATACTATTCATAACTATTAGGTCTAGTTGAACTAGTAAGGTGAGTATTCTCTTAGGTCCTGTTCTTGATTTTCTATTGCCTGCTTGTGATGCAGTTTATGCAGTTATGAAATAGTTTCCCTTCTTTGAATTTCGAGTTGGATTTAAGTTAAAAATATGCAATATTTTCAGATATGAGATCTTGTTCTATGATTTATCACTATTATGTGCAATCTGTCAGAATGATTAGATGTTTTCATGCCATAATCTAATTAAGAATGATATTTGAACAGTTTTTTCAACCACACTGATACTATTTATGAACATATATTGTAGTTTTCATCTAATTCTAATATAAAGATAAAAGATTAAGGATGTAGACTTTATGGTTCGAATTTGGTGGATTCGAATTGCTTATGATTTTTTTAAGACCATTTGTTCTTTTCTCTTGTCATTTTGTAGTTGTTTTGGGACTAAAATATATGCACAATTATGTGTTATGCTCATGTCCACTCTCATGCCACATTACATAGGGGTTGAATACTAGGTAAATTAAAATATATATACACCTGGAGCAAGTTGACCAATTAAATATATGTTTATTGCTTAGCATATTCTAATCACAAGGTTTTGTATTGGATCATTTGGATGCAGAATTAAGTTATACAAACTATAGTATCCACTCATGGGTACTGTTGTTGAAGCTTCAAGCAAGGTATTCATTTCCTCAGCCTTTTAGCAATCTTTATATCTTCATTATTAATATCTTTTACTTCTATGGCTTTGCAACAGTTTTACTTTTTCCCACTTTGTTAAAAATATTACTATGAGTAAGTTAGTAACTTAAATTCACATGCATATATGGTTGCAGGAAGCAAGTGGAAGTTCTCTTAGTCAAAAGAAGCCAAAGGTTGTATTTGTCCTAGGTGAGAACTCTAGTTTTAACTTTTAACAGAAATAAAATTTTTTATATTTTTAGTCCTTAAAAAAATTGAGTCTTTTTTAAATTCTTTTGAGCAGGAGGCCCAGGCAGTGGTAAGGGCACCCAGTGTGCAAATATTGTAGAGCACTTCGGGTATACCCATCTCAGTGCTGGAGATCTTCTTCGGGCAGAAATAAAATCCGGGTCAGAAAACGGGTAAAAATAAAAGTGGATAACTTCTGAAAAGTTTTTTTAATGATTAAAAAAATGTCAATTCTAATGTGTTGGTAATATTTTTGTAGCACAATGATTCAGAACATGATCAAGGAAGGAAAAATTGTTCCTTCAGAAGTAACAATCAAGCTTCTTGAAAAAGCGATTCTTGAAAATGAAAATGACAAATTCCTTATTGATGGATTCCCTCGCAATGAGGAAAATCGTGCAGCTTTTGAGTCAGTTGTGAGTTGTATATTCTATTAAATCTTAGGGCTATTTTTTGTATTTATTTTTAAAATATGTAAATCTTCATTATATAATAATTAAGGGAATCAACATATTAGTTCGGTGATTTACAGACTGGAATTACCCCGGAGTTTGTTCTTTACTTCGATTGTCCACAAGAAGAAATGGAGAAACGCCTCTTAAGTCGCAATCAGGTTGATAAATACACATTTGTAAATTTACTAATTTGTCCTCATATTTTATACGTATTTATTTTTAACATTTTGATTGTTTGTAAAGGGGAGAGAAGATGACAACATTGATACAATTAGGAAGCGATTTAAGGTTTTCCTGGAATCCAGTCTCCCTGTTATCGAATATTACAACTCTAAGGAGAAGGTCCGAAAGGTAAATATTATTACTCTTTCTTCCTGAAAAAGTCAATTTTTGATTCTTGGGGGTCAAAAGTGTAAGTTATTAACATTTTACTAAATTTGCTCCCAGATCGACGCTGCTAAGCCTGTTGAAGAAGTTTTTAAAACAGTTAAGGCCCTTTTCACCCCAGTGGTTGACAAGGTAAAACAAGTTATGATCCTTCTAATACTATATGTTTACTGAAATACCCCTGTACATATAAATTATTAAAAATCTTGCAGGCTGCTGCCTAGATGTTAATATCTCAGTTACCATAGCAATCTTCATGTTTAATGAGGTAAATAGCATGCTAATTAAAAAGAAACAACCTTATTATTTTGGATATCGGGTATTAATTATGTGGACAAAATCTTGTTTATAAAGTTAATTGATGATTTGTTTTGATATTTTTTGCAGTTTCATTGATATGTGGTGTTAAAAGGGTTTGACGATGAGACCCATGGTTGATTATTTGTAATATTACATCATTAAAAGTTGGTTGATCATATCCTATGTTATCGAAATAGGTTAGAAAGATTCTACCATTATTTTTACCATTTACGTATTATACCATACCACGATGTTTGGCAATTGGGACTCTTATATTATATGTATGTTATTCTCGATTGGATAGCTAGTAATAATATATATATTGCTTATTTTTGCTCTTTGCTAGTTAACTTTTGAGTTTAGAGCATATACAATGTGTAATATTCCAATAACGCTTGTTTTCCCAATAACGCTTTTGGGGAAAAAAGTTGAAATACTCCAATAACGCTTGTTTTCCCACTTTAATTTGGAAACGCTTATTTTATTCTTAGCAACACAACCTGATTTATTTTAATTCGTTACTGAAGTACAAAGACAATTTAAATACAGTTTGTTATGGGCTTGCAAGTGACGTCTCGGTGGATTTACATTATGTTTTGTTACTGGACCTAGGCTTACAGTAATACAAAAAATAAACATTTCATCATAATGTATTTCAATCCGTTTACATATCTTAGATTGCCGAGTAGAAAGATGGAAAACCATAGTTAACTAATTTAAATAAAAACTTCCAAGTGGAAAGTTAATATGTTGTCTACCAGTGGGAGAATTAATAAACTAAGAGCATTAGGTTAGGTGTAGGCAATAAGATGCAACATCAAATTGTATCATCTCACGTGCCAAATAAGATGATGTTATAACATTAAGTGGAGAAATTGACAATAAGATGCAACACCAACTTTTTGAGAATAAATATGTTTTATATTTGATTTTTTTTTTGAATTTTTTTTATGTTTTTTGTTTTTATGTTTTTTTAATCACTAAAATGAATAATATAGTTTTATAAACCAGTAAATTTTAAAACAATAAAAAAAACATAATATTTAAAATCTAAAATTACGATTACAATTAAAAAAATAATTTTAAACCTAAAATCATAACTAAAATACTATTTAAATTACTCATAATATCCTAATTAAAATATTTCTTTATGATTTGTTCCTTCATTGCTTGTAGCACCGCTACATCCTCAGGCGCCAAACTCTCCTCGCTCGTCCGAAGAATTGACAACTGATGTGTCATTAGTTCTCTCTCTTTTTGCTCTTGCTTCTCCCGTATCTGTCTTTCTAGGAACTCCAAATGACGACGTTTCAAGTCATTTTTTTCTTTTATTAATAAATTGTGCTCGTCAAATTTCGCTCTCATTTCCACCGCGTCTTTTGCTTTCGCCTCAACCTCCTCTGCATGCCTTACAACGCACCTTGCTTTGTCGTGTCCGGGCGGTCGTGGTGGTGGGGATATCTCCTCGATATCATCGGGGATCTCATCGTTGTCGACGTTTAGGTCGATCTGAGTCCGTGCGTCCGACACGTCGACCGAGCTTGGACTACGAGACCTTTTAGATTGAACCTCCAACGATGTAGGCGTTTTATTCAACTTTGGATCTGCTTGCAACAACTCCCATGATTTTTCAAACTCGAAAACATGTCTCATTTCGACCCGATATTGTTCTTTTGCAGCTTTGAACAAATCGAAATCGTTGGATCTTCTTTGCTGTTGCGCCTCAACCCGGTTGTAAATAGAAGAAGTAGAAAAAGGATTTATGCAATCAATAGTGTATTGAAATAATATAAAATATCGTTGAATTTGTTGCGCCACTTAGTTATTTGATCCAATTTGTTGCTCAACATGTCATTGTTGCGATACTGTTTTCTTCAAAATAGCATGAAACTTGTCGCACACCGCCCCCAATAAACTCTTTTCTTTATTCCATTTACGCGGAGTTCGTCTGTTGAAGTAGTACACCAAGCCGCCGTCAAAGCATATTCCTTCTCTGGTGTCCACCATTGTGGAACGTTTGCATTTTCCTGTTTCAACCGTTATCAATTTTCATTTCCCTTTCCCACTCCTACTACCTCTCGCTTCCACTTCAACCGATGGTTGGTGCTTGGTTGGTTGTTTGTTGCGTCGAAGAAAAATTAGGGAAAATATTTTGTTGTAAATTTGAGTTTTGACCAAATAGATTTTGTTGAAGGTATGATGAGTTGAGAAATTGCAGTGGTGGTGAAGCAGGATTGAAAACGGCGCCTTGGTATGAGATTTGTGGTGATCCCTGAAACGATAAAAGGTTGAAATAATTTTCATAACCTGCAAATCCGAGAGGCGAGGTTGTGTATTTGGGTTTGATGATGGAGGGGGGGGGGGGGGGAGGGGTGTTTGAGTTTTGCTCCATTTTTTTTATTAAAAGAAAGTATAAAATATAGAGAGATGAGAGAAAGATGGTAAAAAATTGAAGTAAAATGAGTATTTATATAAAGTACAAAGGGTAAAAAAAATTATTTGAAATGTTGACCGTTGCAAATGGTCAAATACTAATGTATACATTTTCCCCGTTTCAATAAGTGGTAATGGGTACAATAAGTGCCTTAACGAGAAGAAACGAGAAGAGAGGGGGGGGGGGGGCAATGTTCCCCTCGTTATAACGTTGTTTTTGACGTCCAACTCAGTCATCACGAGGACGAGATGTGCCCACACCGAGCACCCTAAAGGCGGTTTTGGGGAGCTTGAATATTTACAATGTTGATATTTAAAGCTCCAAAACTTTTAATAAATTCGTTGGAGTCTTTAAAAACTCGGTTTTTTTTTTTTTTTTTTTGGGTTTGGGGGGGGGGGGGGGGGAGCCGAGTTAGGAGAACAAAAGATGTCACAGATTAAATGGAAAAAAGCTTCCGGCAACTATTAGAATTACTTTGCTTTTAATTGGTTTCCATTGTAGTAGTAACATATTTGAATAAGGGTTTAGGTCATTTTTGGTTACTTAACTTTTGGTTTTGTGCTCATTTGGTCACTTAACTCTTTTTATTTTTTAAAAAGTCATCAAACTTTTGGCTTTGTGCTAATTTAGTCACTTAACTTTTGGCTTGGTCACATTTAGTGACCTAACTTTTAAAATTGTGCTCATTTAGTCACTAAACTTTTAAATTTTTTAAAAAGTTTAGTGACTAAATGAGCACAATTTTAAAAGTTAGGTGACTAAATGAGCACAAATCTAAAAGATAAGTGACCAAAACAAAAGTTAAGTGACTAAATGAGCACAAAGTCATAAGTTTGATGACCTTTTAAAACTTAAAGAGAGTTAAGTGACCAAATGAGCACAAAACCAAAAGTTAAGTGACCTAAACCCTTTGAATAAGCCCAACTCTTATAAGTTAATATGGTAAACACAATTCTCGATCCAATTGGCGGGTTTCATTTTGGGTAACAAGACTGAAATACCAAGGAACTTCTGATAAAATAGTTCTGTCTTTTTATCATCTTTGATCAAAAGGGAGTAATATGGATCCATATACCAAAAGACCCGATAATGGAAATTCAACAAATTTTTGGTAGGAGAAGTGGCTATGTGAAATTCCTTTTCTGTCTAGATTTTCTAGATTGTTTGCTCTTTAAATGGATAAACAATGCATGGTATATGCTAAATTTCAAAATGATGAGGGGGGAGGGGGTGGAGATGGCGTAGACAATGGGGAGGGGCCAAAGAGGTTTAATAGGATGAACGTTGGGATCTTTTATCTAATATTGTCTTGTGTTATCAACATGACATATGGATATAGGGTTTGGATTAGATGTCTAAGTCAATAATTAAATTAGTATAATTTTGAATTATTAGTAAAATTTCTTTTGGGTTGCCCTCATAAACTAATAACCGAATATAATTATTTTTGGAGAGAGAGAGAGAGACTAAATTGATAATTTATTAAATGATTAATAAATTGTTTATTAAAATATTATATGATTAATATATTAATAATGATAATAATTAATTTGGAATTAATTGGAATTAATTTTGGAGTTAATTGAATTAATTAAAAATGCAGGGACTGTTTGGTTATTTATTGAAAGTTGAAGTGGGAAAGTTCTAGAACCCCATGGGATGGGGTGAACGAAATTTGGCTAGGAATATAAGACAACTTGATTATTATATCAATTAATCTCAACCTTATCCCAAAACCGTAGCTTTGGCCTCAAGTTTCCTTCAACTATATAAACCCCTCCCCGACTCTTATAATTTTTGTCCTCTCTTCCTCTCATCCTCATAGAGCCGAATTTATCCTCTAGTCACCTCTCTCCTCAAGTCTTCTATTTATTAAGGTTTTGGGTGTGAACCATGAGAGATACGTGATTTATGGTGCTTGCTTTCGGAAGCTTGATCAAGAAGTAATTATTGATTATTTACTACAATAACCAAAAGGTATGTAAAATGTAAACCCTAAAAACCTTTTTGTGAATTTCGAATATAGTTGTATACTTTTAGGGTTCTTGATATTCAATTGTTTGTTGCAAATCATAGTGAGAACATAGATCTTTTAGGTTGCATGTGAACTTAGGGTTTAAGTTTTTCCAGCAAAATAAGATTTTTATAACTTATAAAACCCATTAATAGGAGCTTGATTCGGTGGAGTTGTACACATTTTCTTCTACTAAGAACGTCATAGTCACCGGTACGAAGGAAGCACTCGATGGAAAAAATTGGTTCCAATCAAAGTAAATGTGTTGGCTTGGAATTTATTTAGTTCGTATGGTAATTAAAGTTAATCTTAGTAAAAGAGGCTTTAATATTCAATAGTGCTTGCTCTATTTGTGATTCCAATATCGATACAATTGACCGTTTGATGGTTTCATGTACTGTGACTGATTCTATTTGGATGAAAATTGGACGATGGTGAGATTTGGATTTTTCTATTTCTTACGTTGTGTGAAATCGAGCAAAGATATGGTCATTTTGACAACTTCGTGATGTTATGGAACTTCTAAAATGCTTCACTTTTAAAATCGCAAAGGTCAAGCAAAGATATTTTATTTGATAAAATAGTTAGGCAATCATATTTTTTTTTGTTATCTTCTAAAAATACCAAGTACAAAGAAGGTGATGCGGAGATAGTATATATGGAGGTGTTCTCGACACAAGAGATGTTGATAAGGAAATCATAAAACTCTATTTTTAGACCAACTTCAACAAGAAGTATGGTGTAACACTGTAAATTTTCAAATAAAATTTTTATTTAAAATCGCACAATTCTCGTAACACATTTCACAAAAAATCTCATTTATTTAATTTACAAATCGCAACTCCATAATTGTTTGATTAAAATCCAGGATATTCAAAACATAACTCTCCCACTGGTGTGTTCAATCAAGCTGGTGCCTTCTCGCGATCCTGAGAAAACCTGAAACACATAACACATAACACGATAAACACGAAGCTTAGTGAGTTCTCCCAAATACCGCGCACAAAATAATTAGCCACTCAAGGCTA